ATATGACTGAAAAATTACATTTTTTTCTGAAAAGGTGGTGTCTATTTACTTGTGACCACGCTGTGTATATCTTTGTGTCAGTAAATTAATAACGACAAATCCCATAATTGTGCTAATTCATTATTTCGTTTTAACGACAAATAAAACGTGAGACCCACAGGGAAAAGAAAGTAAAATAAAATAAGAGATAACAATCAAAAGTAAAATTATTCAAGAGCAAAACATTAATACAGAAAAGTAAAAATATTCAAGAGTTAAATGTTATTACACAAAGAGTAAAAATATTCAATAGTTAAACGCTACAACACAAAAGTTAAAATATTCAAGAGTTAAATGTTATTACACAAAAGTTAAAATATTCAAGAGTTAAACGTTACTACACAAAAGTAAAATATTCAATAGTTAAATGTTACAACACAAAAGTTAAAATATTCAAGAGTTAAATGTTACAACACAAAAGTAAAATATTCAAGAGTTAAATGTTATTACACAAAAGTTAAAATATTCAAGAGTTAAATGTTACAACACAAAAGTAAAAATATTCAAGAGTTAAATGTTATTACACAAAAGTTAAAATATTCAAGAGTTAAATGTTACAACACAAAAGTAAAATATTCAAGAGTTAAATGTTACAACACAAAAGTAAAATATTCAAGAGTTAAATGTTATTACACAAAAGTTAAAATATTCAAGAGTTAAATGTTATTACACAAAAGATAAAATATTCAATAGTTAAATTTTACAACACAAAAGTAAAAATATTCAAGGGCTAATCGTTACTAAAAAAATTATATTATGCTCAACTTGAGTTTGATAATTTTAGTAAATATATATTCTTGTTTACTGGAGACACCAAGGTACCCCCGTCCCGGTGGGGCAGCGGTTATTTTATGGACTTGCACGCTAATATCCGGATTGTGATACCTCGCAGTGGAAAGAATGCAGATGGCCCATTGTGTAGCTTTGCACTAAGAAAACAGTAACAACAAGACACCAAGTCAGGTTGTTTGATATTTTCTTTATGATTATGGTTGTGTTTATCATTAATTTATTATTCACTTTTATCGTTTAGTTTATCTACGAATTTTGAGTTGCATTAAAACGTTAAGTCACCTTCTATATAATCATTTGTATTTTGAGTAAATATGTGTGTATGATGAAACTGACACCAGCTTTCAGAGAGAACAATGTAGAGGTGAGCATGACTGTTATACACAGTATCTAATTGTTCACTGAACAATGTAGAGGTCAACATGACTTATACACAGTGTCCATTTGTTCACTGAACAATGTAGAGGTCAACATGACTGTTATACACAGTGTATATTTGTTCACTGAAGAATGTAAAGGTCAACATGACTGTTTTACACAGTATAACAGACATATTGTATATTTGTGATTATAATCATGAAAGCTTGTATCATTTGGCCAGGTAAGGAACATTTCCTAAATTTCTTAAGAATAATTCTAATGACGCAAACAAATTATACGATCTAAATAATGTTTTTGGCGGATTTTAAACCCCTGGTTAGAGCCTTCTTCTCCACGTCACTCAACTGATAATCAGAATATTATATAGCACCTGATCAGATTCGTCAATAAAGATCGACACGTCACGCTGAAAAGTTTTAAATGTACTTAACTTCTTAATCTGAGTTCACCTCGTTCTGACTACGGTCACGTTTCAGTTCTCTTCAAATAAACAATTTTATTGTACAAACTCTAGAAAACTGGAATTATAGAGTGTATAAAAAAAATGTGTTGTAATGTCACAGTCATATTCAGGATTTCAAAAAGTAGAAACGACATGACATCTGTTTACATTCTTTACATGATATCTGTTTACATTCTTTACATGACATATGTTTACATTCTTTACATGACATCTGTGTACATTCTTTACATGACATCTGTTTACATTCTTTACATGACATCTGTTTACATTCTTTACATGACATCTGTGTACATTCTTTACATGATATCTGTTTACATTCTTTACATGATATCTGTTTCGATTCTTTACATGACATCTGTTTACATTCTTTACATGACATCTGTTTACATTCTTTACATGATATCTGTTTACATTCTTTACATGACATCTGTTTACATTCTTTATATGATATCTGTTTACATTCTTTACATGACATATGTTTACATTATTTACATGATATCTGTTTACATTCTTTACATGACATCTGTTTACATTCTTTACATGATATCTGTTTACATTCTTTACATGACATATTTTTACATTCTTTACATGATATATGTTTACATTCTTTACATGATATCTGTTTACATTCTTTACATGATATCTGTTTACATTCTTTACATGACATCTGTTTACATTCTTTACATGATATCTGTTTACATTCTTTACATGACATCTGTTTACATTCTTTACATGACATCTGTTTACATTCTTTACATGACATCTGTTTATGTGTAATTATTTCTACCCTTCTGATTGGGTTAAACAGACTTGATGGTGTCATTACTAAAGAGCTGAACTACGGATTTTTTTTTTAGAGAATCTGATTTTGATAATAAAACTGATTAATAATAACAGAAATGATGATTTATTCACGTCAACAATACTGTCTTAAACACACCGAAGATCAATATTAGTAACAATTTCGCGTTTCGTTCCCGTTTCCATACCAACAATTACTTTTCTACAAGACTGCGAAGCGCGTGTTGGAATGAAACTCAAGCGACTTAACAGTTTCCTTGTGTGTGTATATATATATATACCGTATTTTTCGGAATATAAGACGGACCCTTATTTGAAGACAAAG